CTTCGATCTTCACCCGTCTTCCTTCTGGGTTTTCGTGCTCCGGCTGTCTGACTGGCCGACCTGCAATGGTGTCACTCCCGCGCATGTACAGGAAAACCCCAGGCATGGCACAAAGCTCTGGAGGAACGGCAAGGGTGTGCTGTTCATTTGGAAACTCGGGCACTGCCCGAGGGTCCGGGGTCAGTAGGGGGCCCCATGAGATGCCCCTGGTACCTTTTTCATAGGCTTTTTTGAGTTTTGGCAAGGACACAGGGGCCCCATGATCCCCTATTGCCCAGGGGCCCCATGAGTTGTTAGTCTGTCCCTGGACATGCTGCATTGAAATCATGCAACTTCAAGTGAAGATTTTAAAGTCAAATTCAGTTTGAACCACCAGTAATATTAGAATATTAGAATGTAATAGAAACATAGAATAGTAACGGCAGAAAAGAGACCAAGTGGTCCACTTAGGCTCCGTTCACATCAATGCCTTTTTTTAGTGATTTTTGCAGAAACGCACTACAGTCTGTGTAACTGAGTTTCCTGTGGAACGTGTTCACATCTATGTTTTTTTTGAGCTGCTGCATGTTTGAAAAGGCTCAGGGACTTTTTTAAAAGAAAAAAAGCAGTGTTTTTGCTACAGTGTTCAATGGAGAAGCTGCTGAAATGCATGGTAGTGTGTTTTTGCCACGTTTTTGCCACGTTTTGCATTTTGCATTTTTATTCTGCCAAGCAACAACAAAAAAAAATCCACTTAAAAAAAAAAGAACTGAACAAAACGCAAAATGCGGTAAAAACGCATTTAGAAAAATGCAAAATGAACTGCGAAAAGCAATGCTAAACGGACAAAAAGCAAATTGCATAGGTGTGAACAGAGCCTTACTATTGACTGACTCACTACATCTGCTGGAAGTCTTTTCCAAGCGTCAACTACCCTTTCAGTAAAATCATATTTTTTAAGGTTAGTTTTTAACCCTTTGTCCAGTTAGCTTGAGGTCATGTCCCCGTGTTCCTGATTTTGGTTTTATATTACAAATTCTTCCCTCTTGAATCTTATTCTCCCCCTTGATGTATTTAAAGGTTTCAATCACATCTCCCCTTTCCCTTCTTTCTTTCAGACTGTACATATTAGGTTCCTGAAGTTGTTCTTCATATGTTTTATCCATCAGATCTTTCACCGTTTTGTAACCCTTCAATAATTTGTTTATTGAGGGCAAGAGCCCAGGCTTGACATCATCCGTGTGCTGCTGTTCCTCAATGATCCAATCGGCAGTCACAGTGGATCTTGGATCAAATTGTATTGCCTATGTGCAGTGGGATCCTGGGTCTGCCTGTTCTGTCTGGCATTGTTAAAGTAGAACTCTGAGCAAAAACCTATTTACAAGTCCCTGTTGCTGATTTACGACCTTCACTGAATAGGTCATCCATCTTCTGGTTCACTCAGCAGTTGTGAAATATCCTATTAATTTTCATATCAAACTGTCTCTTTGGTTTCCTGTTTGTAAGACCGCTGGCTACTATGCCTCCTATTCCCCCAGTCATTGGATCTTGGCACATCCCTTCTGTAGTTCTTTCTACAGGAAGCAGTGACCTCTTAGATTGTAAGCTCCTAGGATCAGGCCCTTCTAACCCTCTTGTATTGAACTGTATTGTTCCTGCGTTGTCTCCCGTTATATTGTAAAGCGCTTAGCAAACTGTTGGCGCTATATAAATCCTGTATAATAATAATGTCATTCAGCCCCTCTTGCAGTGGTGGGCAGACCAAGGCTCTCAGACACATTCATCATGTACAGGCCTAGTGTACCGCCCACATTCACTACAATTCCCTTGGTTGATGGGAACTGTAGTTTCCTTTTACAGCAAAAAGAGAGAGGAGAGGATATGATATAACCCCCGCTGTCCTCCTCACCTCCTCCTTGGCAGAGCAGATGCTGTTACCTTTTGAATTACAGAGATGAGGTCATGAAAATTTTTATGAGATGTTTCTCCTAAATGGTAAGGTTTTTTAAAATGTTATTAACTATTTTGTGTTTTGTGTAGGAGGTGCACTAATGAGTGATTTTTTTTTTTGCCTATCCCGGAGTTCTTCTTTAGGTGTAACACATTTTCCAGTATCGGCTTCCATTAGCTGTTGGCATTTAGTCCTATAACATCTTAGAGCCCCATAAGAAGATATTTATTTACAGGTGTAAAAGGGGAACAGGTAGCTTTATAATGGCCACCATGTGTCACTGACTGTGTGTCTCACTTACCCATCAGGGCCACCAGCTTAAAGTGGAGTTCCACCCAATTTTTAACGTTTGGCCCCATGTATTGCTTCCTGCTGTCCCATCAATGTTTGGCACATTTTTTTTTTCTCCGAAAGTTTTCATACCTTTAGGCTACTTGAAGCACTGCACTTCCAATGTACCTCGCCGCGGTGAATACATCACATCCTCCTGCCTGTTGGTTCCTGGGATGTATGTGTCATCAATCCCAGAAGTCAATGGGCATCCCCCACTCTGCAATGAGTGCGCTGTGCTTTCTTCTCACTGCGCAGGAGCAAGATCAGGAGGTGCATGCTGGCTAGAAAGTGCGGCTGGGCTTCAGATGCCCACAGTGAAGATGGAAGAACACAGGATCATGAGGGGCCAGTGAGTATCTTTAAAAAAACAAGGAAAACAAAAAATTACATCTGCAGTATATGCCATTTTGCATGGCATAAGCTGCGACTGTCACGGAGGAACTTTAAAAAAAAAAAAGAAAAAAATTACTGGAACTCTGCTTTAACCCATCAGTACTGGCCCAAGTAGAAAATGCCCCCCTGTCTCCCATCCTAGCCCTTCCCTGTCCAGGTGACACAGGATGTTACAATGCTGAATCAGGAAACAGTTGAGTCATTTTGACAGCAAAGCATGCTGGCACTAGGGCATCAGCAGCGGAAGAAGAGCAATGGGTGGTCTACACTTGTTCTCCTTAGTCCTGACATGTTCCTTGAATAAGAATAATAATGTGTGATTATGCTGGCAGAGAAATTGATATTTAATCCTTTAGCTGTTCATTTTCATGAAGGTGGTTGAAAAACGAGGGGATAATTCAATCCAGTTTATTCATGTACAGGGACAGAAAACACAAAGCGATAAGGTGCCATGTCCAGGATTACCCTATCTCTGGCACCTGCCTCCTCCTCTCTCCGTCGCCAGCTCATGCGGTTTATGTTTGTGCTGCTGTAGCTGGAAATGTACATGCACTAAGATTGCGGAAGAAGAAGAAAAAATAATAATGCGGCTTATTAAGCTCCAGGCTCCAAAAGTCTTTATTGTGCTTTCCAAGCACGGACCGGAGACGTGCTGGTGCCTTTTCAGCAATTAGAGCTGAATTTTCTCTTTGCCTTGCTCTAATTTGTTTAATAGTTTTGAAGTATTGTATGTAATACTGAGAGGAAGAGTAATTTTCTTTTCTTTTCCTGTGTGTGAAGGCTATTCTTTTCTACAAGACAATCGATGGACTAAATCCAACATTAAAAGCATTAAAATGTAATATGTGCCACGTATACTTAGTGCCGGTGATTTGCCTGTGCGCGTTTACTTTTTAAACAGCATGAACAAGTATTCCTTGAGGATTCTACATGTGACATTGCAGTAAATGCTTAGAGTCAAACTCCATGCAAATAGCTTCACGCAAATAGAAACACAATTAGGGTTTAGGCATGTCAAGCATTTTTTCTGTTCAAACACTCGTTTCCTGAACGAGCAAGTGATGGGTTTTTTTTTCAGCCTCCAAACACCTCTCTTCTAAAGTGTTTGTAAATGCCTATATGTGCATCAGAAGCAGTGCACTGGCAAGGAGGGGAGAGAAAACACAGTCTGCACCTCCTCCCAGCTCTCCCCTCTCCTCCCAGTGCTGGGCTGATAGGCATAGTGATGACACTGTCACTACTCCTGTTAGTGGTGGCGTCCCTCTGAAAGCGGCACCCAGGGTACATGCCCCCCTCCCCCTTCCCACCAGTTTCTCACCCTGGTGCATGGCCACAAAAGTTATTAATAGAGAAGAATTTAGTGGCTGAAAAAAGAAAGTCAAATGCCTTTAAAAGTGGAAATTTTTATGGCTTGTGTGCATGAGACCTAAATACCACATTGGAAATAGCTGCCTGCTTGACATTTCGTATACATTCTTCATGGGTTGCACTCAGGCCACTATCCCCATACGTGTGTGCAATAACCCACACATACACACACACACACACACACACACACACACACACTATATATATATATGTATATGTATGCACACTATATTGCCAAAAGTATTGGAACACCTGCCTTTCCATACACATGAACTTTAATGGCATCCCAGTCTTAGTCCATAGGGTTCAATATTGAGTTCGCCCACCCTTTGCAGCTATAACAGTTTCAACTCTTCTGGGAAGGCTGTCCACAAAGTTTAGTAGTGTGTGTATGGGAATTCTTGACCATTCTTCCAGAAGTGCATTTGTGAGGTCAGGCACTGATGTTGGATGAGAAGGCCTGGCTCGAAGTCTAAAATTCATCCCAAAGGTGTTCTATCTGGTTGAGGTGCAGGCCAGTCAAGTTCCTCCACCCAAAATTCACTCATCCATGTCTTTATGGACCTTGCTTTGTGCACTGGTGCGCATTCATGTTGGAACAGGAAGGGGACATCCCCAAACTCTTCCCACAAAGTTAGGAGCAGGAAATTGTCCAAAATGTCTTGGTATGCTGACACCTTAAGAGTTCCCTTCACTGGAACTAATGGGCCAAGCCCAACCCCTGAAAAACATCCCCACATCATAATCCCCCCTCCACCAAACTTTGCACTTGGAACAATGCAGTCAGGCAAGTATCATTCTCATGGCAACCACCAGACCCAGACACGTCCATTGAATTGCCAGACAGAGAAGCATGATTCATCATTCTGGAGAGAACACGTCTCCCCTGCTCTAGAGTCCAGTGGTGGCATGCTTTACACCACTGCATCCGACGCTTTGCATTGCTCTTGGTGATGTAAGGCTTGGATGCAGCTGCTCGGCCACGGAAACCCATTCCATGAAGCTCTCTACGCACTGTTGTTGTGCTAATCTGAAGGCCACATGAAGTTTTGGAGGTCTTTAGCTATTGACTCTGCAAACAGTTTGTGAATTCTGCGCACTGTGCGCTTCAACATGCGATGACCCCCGCTCTGTAATGTGGCCTACCACTTCATGGCTGAGTTGCTGTTGTTCCCAGTTGCTTCCACTTTGTGATAATACCACTAACAGTTGAGCGTGGAATATTTAGTAGAGAGGAAATGTCACGGATGAACTTATTGCACAGGTGGCAACTTATCACGGGACCACGCTTGGAGTCACTGAGCTCCTGAGAGCGACCCATTCTGTCACAAATGCTTTGTAGAAGCAGTCTGCATACCTAAGTGCTTGATTTTATAGACCTGTGGCCATGGAGGTGATTGGAACACCTGAATCCAATGATTTGGAGGGGTGTCCCAATACTTTTGGCAATATAGTGTGTGTGTATATATATATATATATATATATATATATATACAGAGAGAGTGAGAGATAGTTTCTGTAAGTATCTGTTTACAACATCCCAGTAAATGTCCATGAGCTGTCTATTTGCATCCATTGACCGCAATGTATGTCTGACAATATGTGTTTGTCACTGTCCATCACAAAGTGTGTCCATCATTGTCCTTATGTGTCCATACATCACAGTGTGCCGCTGCCAGTATCTTCCTGTTTGTGTCTCTCCATCACTGGCTGTCTGTAGATTGTTTTTTGTAACATACCAGTTAGAATGACTTACTCCTTGCAATAAATTCTTAAAGATGTTGGGATTTACTTCAGAGCTCCATGACCTTTATAAATGCACAAGGCCGCTATCGGAAACTCCATAATAAATCCATAATGCCCTTTCAATACACAGTTTAATGTATATTATCCTATATAGATTACACACATATTAGCATAATATCATATACAATAATATAATATGCAAAAACGTTTGGGCATTTAGTCTCTCTGATTTGCTCATACTTTGATTAGCACTTTAGGGTTCGTACAGAGAAGTTGTCTGTGCATAAAACAAGAAAAACTTCAGAGGAAATGTGAATTCTTTCCAAAGATCTGTGTCCTAGATTCAATATGATTCATTATATCTGGGCAAATCACGATATTATATAAAATAGGAACCTGAATCTATTCTTCTATTCTTCCTAGTCACAACATTTTATTATTTCTGGGATGGAGAGGAAAAAAAAAACTACTTTCGGGTCATTTGAAAAAGATGAATACTTGAACCTCTGGCTGTCTCTTTCTGTATGAAATGAATTAGAAACAAGGATGTAAATCTAAGAAGATAATTTGGAGTTCCCCCTGACTATCTTGCCATTTTCAGCCATCAGAGAAGGTTTTTTTTAGTTATCGGAGAGTATCCATGCCTTGTGACTGGCCATGCCCAGTGTGGTCTTCATGTTATTTATTGGCCCTGCACCCTGAAGCTAATGTGGTTGGAGACCGGTTGATTGATCTACGAGTATGTTTCTGGATTGTGGAAGAAACAATTGAGTACTGTCCGTGATACTTTTTTTATTTGCACTAACACACAATTTTGAGGACAAGCTTTTGGGGAATGTCCCCTTCTTCAAGGTCCAAGCAACGCTTGTCCTCAAAATTGTATGTTAGTGTCAATTAAAAAAGTATCATGGACAGTACTCAATTGTTTGTCGCAAATGCTACAATCACCTCAAGAAAAATGGATTGTGGAAGGAAATCAGAGCACCGAGAAGGAAACCAGTGATAAATATTGCCTAGCCTTGTATTAAAGTAGTAGTAAACCCAATCACTAAAATTGCTAATGCCATTGAAAGGCAATTTTTAATATCTGTAAATCTGCAGCTTTCATGAAAATAATCCTTGGTGATCCTGTAGTGAAGGTTCTTGTTTAGGAATAATCGGGGTGACAACAGTGCTTCTGAGTTGTCACCCTGTTATCCATGGTGATCCTGCCATGAAGGTTCTTGTTAAGGAATTTCCAGGTATAGGGTGACAACACGGTCACCCAAGTACTTTTGTGTTGTCACTCTGTCATCCCTGGTGATCCTGCCATGAAGGCTCTTGTTTACTGCAGGGCAGTGGCTAAGTGGTCAGCACTCCCACTTAGCAGCACTAGCGTCGTTGGTTCAAATTCCAACCATGGCACCACCTGCCTGGAGTTTGTATGTTCTCTTTGTGCCCATGTGCTTTTCCTCCCACACTCCAAAGACATGCTGAAAGGTTAATTGGCTCCTGTCTAAATAGGCCCTAGAATGTGTATGTATGAATGTACGTTAGGGACCATAGATTGTGTGCTCTTTGAAGGTTAAGGACCGATGTGAATGTACAATATATATGTAAAGCACTGTGTAAATTGTAATAGTACCTGTATTAAGAATAGTGTGGGGTGAAACACGCTAAGGGGCGTGGCCTTGGATGAGGCTGCTTTCACCTGTTTACTAATGGCATTGTGTGGTGTTTGGGTCATTTCTCTTTGCATATGCACAGTATATAGAGTTAGACAGACTCCTTCCCAGCGAGCACCCAGTTCAGGAAACAGTTACAGTGAGTACAGTCACCCTGTCATCCCTGGTGATCCTGCCATGAAGGTTCTTGTTTAGCAATTTCCTGTTTTAGGGTGACAACACGGTCTCCCAGATGCTTCTGAGTTGTCACCATGTTGCAGGGGCTTCCAATAGTTGTTTTGACACATTACGCAGGCACTGTTGTCATTGTCAGGGATCGCCGCGGCGCTGGTCCCGGCGCAGGCACAGTGCACCATCTCGTACGGGGATGCGAGCGTTGGGTCCTGGCCGGCCGCGGCAACGGAGCTGGCGCATGCGCACTAGGGTCCACGGGTGCGCGCCTGGCACCAATGACAGCGCAGGGCGCGGTATTTAAATCCCCCCTGAGCTGTCACTGGTTGGCGTTTGGTCTCTCTGTGTTCCTGAACCTGTGTACTCGTGATTCTGATAGTTGCTGACCCGGATTGTCCCTGACTGTGCTGTACTCTCCTGCTCTGACCCCTGGCTTGCCTGACCACTCCTCTGGATGCCCCTATAGGATCTGATTTGCTGTTGCTGACCTGGCATGTGACCCGACCATTCTCTGCCCGCTGCTTTGTACTGCACCGACCCCACGGCTCCCGACTCGGCTTGTTTGACCCTGCACTCGCTCATCCATCCATCCCATCGGGGTCTCCCGGCCTCCTCACATCAGGCTCTCACCCTGCAGGGACCTCTGGCGAACCCCTCTACCACTGGTGGGTATACCCAGCAGCCGCGACCTGGTTTCGGTGCACTCCAAGTCCATCCACACCATCAGGGGCCCTGGTGACCAAGTGAACCGGAACTTAGACTCCGCGCTCTGGGGAAGCCTGACCAGTGGGCTGCTAGAGGTGCCGCCAGGAGGTTCCTTACAGTCACTGTCAAGAAATCCACACTAAGAAATGCCTACAGCCATCACATGAAGGCTGAGAGTGGTTGCAAGGAAGCTGCAAGAGGCAGGCCTGAGATACAACAATGCATTAAACAAAAAAAAAAGATGAAAACAACTTGTTAATACTATGATATGTGCATATAATACAGTGATGTCCAGTACGTTTGCATTGGCCTATATATAAACAACTTTGCTTCTCAAAGCACGGAAATACTCCCCCCCCCCCCCCCCCCCCCCACCCCCCCCCCCCCCCCGTTCTCTATGATTAAGCCCTGTAGGCAGAGTGAAATATGTCAGAGGAGCATAGCCAGGAGGAGTTTGGGCTAAAGCCATATCCTTACCTCTATAAATAGTGGCTGCGTTTCCACCTTCTGTTTTCCAATCTGTTTCTAATAGATTTGCTTCCTATGATCATCAGCTCCATCTAGTGACCATAATGTGGCATTTTTCTGAAATACCTCAATCAGGAATTTACTGCATTATGGCCACTAGATGGATATTGATGTGCCTAAGAAATAAATGTATTAGGCAAATTACGGTGACTATTATTTTTATACATAAACCCTAAATGCTTTAACTGCTTGCCACCCTCCCACAGTGCATTTACTGCAGGCGGGCTGCACAGCCAGGCCGAATCATGTATATGTATGTGATCCAGCTTCTTCCAGGCTTGGGGTGCAGATGTGCCCCCTGTTGATCAGCGCTGTTACTGGCTATAGCTCGATTTTGTTAGCAGGTCCCGGCCAGTGATTTATGGCTGATACCTGCTAATAGGCTGTAGCCAATCACAGCACAGATTTCTCTGTTTACAAAAACACAAGGCTCTGTACACAGATCAGCGATCTGGTTGTTCCTTCTCCCTGCAAAACAGGGAGAAAAAACATTCAGATCTCTTAGTAAAAGCAGCACATATTACACACATTACACTTGTTAGGCACACAGTTAACCCCTTGATTGCCCCTTGATGTCAACCCCTTCCCAGCCAGTGTCGTTAGAACAGTGACAGAGTACAGTATTATCTCTGATCACTGCGTTAGTGTCACTATTGATGTCAGTGTCAGTTAGTCAGTTAGTGTACCTCCCAGCAAGGGTATGTTAGTGCCAGATTGCCCGCCACACTATCCCAATCACACTTTAAGTCACTGATCACCGCCGTTACCAATATAACGTCATAGCTGCGTAAATTCCATATTTTATACAATCGTTTGTGGACGCTATAAGAATTCACACTTTATTACATTATTATACAGGAGTTATATAGCACCAACAGTTTGCTCAGCGCTTTACAATATAACGGGAGACAATACAGCAACAATACAGTTCAATACAAGAGGGTTAGGAGGACCCTGCTCCTTGGAGCTTACGATCTAAGAGGGAGGGGCTAGTGGTTCAAAAGGTAGTAACTGTGGGGGATGGATTGGTAGGAGGAGTAGAAGATTCCATTATTAGCTGAGGGCAGGATAGGCTTCCCTGAAGAGATGGCCTAAAAGTGAGCAGAGTAGGCAATAGTCTGATAAATTGGGGAGGAGAGTTCCAGAGGATGGGGAAGCTCTGGAGAAGTCCCTGATACGAGCATGGGAGGAGGAGACAAGGGAGCTAGAGAGCAGGAGGTCATGCGAGGAGCGGAGAGAACAGTTTGGGTGATATTTGGAGACAAGATCGGTGATGTAATTTGGGGCAGAGT